AACAAGAGGATTTTAGAGTCTATTTCTCAGAAATGTCACAAAATTAAACAAAAAAATTGGGGGGTTATTATTCTGTAATATAGCTAGTAGTCTTAAAAAAATGACATTAAATCACATCATTTAGATAGCTAGAGGATGATGCAAAAAAATAACATAAATGGCACAATATTTACCAGGGTGTTATTGGGACAGGGATTAAAAATAAGAATGGAATCCTTTTGTCGTACTGAACTGTGAGCAAAGAGGAAGTCAGAGGAGGTTTAGCAGCTGCTCACACAGGCTTTTTGGGGACAGGCTGGAGGGAGGACTCACCTGGAATACGGTCAGCAGTGCTTGAGGGAAATTGTCAAAGGTGCTCCTCTTGGTTTGCGTTTCATCAAAATTAAACTTGCCGCCAAATAGCTGCATCCCAAGCAAGGAAAAGATGATAATGAAGAGAAAAAGCAGAAGCAGCAGTGAAGCAATGGACTTCATGGAGTTCAACAAGGACGCCACGAGGTTGCTCAGGGAAGTCCAGTGCCTGCAAGTCAAGATGAGGCTGTGAGCCCAATACCCATGCAGGATGAGCAGAATGTCACCTGCCCAGAAACGTGCCTGATCACCACCTCGTGTTCATAAAGCACCTGCAGTGAGACACATTTCCTCACCTGGTCACCTTGAAGATGCGTAAGAGGCGCACACACCGAAACACAGAGATCCCCAGTGGAGACATGATTTCCAGTTCCACCAAGATCGTCTCAGTAATTCCACCACACACCACGAAGCAATCAAACCGGTTGAAAAGAGAGACGAAATATGCCTGCAGACCCAAGCTGTACATTTTTACCAGCATCTCACAGGTGAACAGAGCCAAGAGGACTTTGTTAGCGATATCTGGAAAGACAAAGGGGCGCCTGTCCTTGGGATCTTATGGGAAACACTCCGACTCCTTTTGTCTCCTCACCCCTCCCTCCCCACCATTCCCCGCAGGAAACATACCAATACCTTGTCCCTCTCTTTGCTTTGCACCCACACAGAAATGTGGCCTTAATATCTATGGCCTGCTTGTCTGCCAGGCTCTGGTCCTGCATCTGCTGCTATCTAAGCGTACAACTCTGGAGAAGTTACTTGATCTCTCCGGGTCTCAGTTTCATCGACTAAAAAATCGGGAGGGGCAGCTTACCACATAATCTCTGAAGCTTTCCAGCAGTAAAAGCCTACAACTCTGCATTTAGACCATCACATATATTGTTTTCTTTCAGTCACACACAAAATGACCTGTCTGGTCTTGCTTATGACACTATGATATCAGAAGTGGTCACCTACCATTGTCATTTCTAACATCAGAAAATACCACCAAGCAGGCTGGAGAGGTAGAAGGAAACATTTGATGTGATGTGAGGAAGGACTTCTCAGTAGCTTAGAACTGTCAAAACAGGCTGTCTCTGGGGACGAGCTCCCCCGCACCCCACTGCAGGGGCATTCAAAGCAAGAGAACAAAACCACTTGCCACAGATATTCTGGGGGCAGGGAGAAGGGATTATGAGGTTCCCTCCCACTCCAGGATTCCTTGATCCTAGGTTGTCTCGGGGTTGCGACAATGGGATGGATACTTGGTATTAATCAGCTTCCAGGTGCTGCCCCACACAGCACAGGATGCACCCCACTCCAGTGCTGGCCTGTGTCTGGATGGTTCTACCATGTTCCTGGTTAGTCCTCACTAGAAATGTTCCTATACCTCATTACACATTGATCAAATAAGACTAAACAGCAGCTGGACAGCTATAGGAATATCTAATTCAGAACACAAAACAACGGCCTCTGCTTGTACCTTGAATCTGTGTCAACCAGTCTGGCTGATTATAATGCTCAGAGGAAATGGTTAAGGTGTTGAGAAACACCAGGACAATAACCAGCCAGTAAAACGTGACAGACTTCACGGCAGCCCTACATCTTCTGCGATTGAATCGGTTCCAGCGACGCCAGCGTCGGCTGAAAGACAAACAAACATTACTCCTTGGATGACAGATACAGCATGAGTGTCCAATAAACATTATTAAGAAATAATTTGGTTTTCATTCTGGAGGTCCAGGGTGGGGCGGGGGTGCAAGAAGGAAAGAGAACAAATAGCGTAAAAATTAACAGGCCTCATAATATAAATTATGTTGTTCTTAAAATACAACTTTTAAAAGTATAATCTTGACTTGATCATGCTATCAGTTTCTTTTGCACAGCTTTAGATAGCTCCAGAACCTGTCATATGCAGCCCTCAAACAGACGAGAAAATCTAGATATTCATAGATTCATGTGCAGATGCAAAACAGTACTCGCACACACATGTAGTTCATGTGCCCACCATATGGCAGGTGGATCTGTTCACCCTACTGGTGCAGAGCACCCTGAGCTTATTATACACCTCTTTCACAGCATCTCGATCATCATACAGAATTTATGAGGCAGCAAAGTGCTCCAAGACCACTGTTTTCTTTTTAGGGAATCTTTCAATCCTTTAAGCCTTTGAGGTTCCTCCTCAGCCTGGCAGAGTTGTCAAAGCTGAGTAGGACATGAGTCTTCATACTGAGTCATCAGGTGCCCTTTCTCACTAGTGATGCTCAAAATATACCTTCAGGAGAAGAGCCAATATTGAATCGTGTTTTCATAAAAATAAAATGAGCTGAGCCAAACAGGCAAGTAGCATGTCCTCCGCCCACCTTCAGTTTCTGTGTGCAATGAGGGAAAATCTTCTCTCCCTTAGCCTGTCTCCCTACGGACAACATTCCCTAACACAAGGGGATGATTCAGTGCAGTGCGCCACGAGTTCCTGCTCAGAGACCTGGATCCCAGGGCAGAGACAGCCGAGTGGCAAAGACAGTCCTTTCCAGGTGGTACTGCCCACTGCCAGGAATGGGGGCCTTTCCTCCAGGGCCCAGAGTCAAGGAGTCTCCGGGCTGTCCAAGCTGCAGCCCTGGCTGACTCAGCTGCGTTGCCATGCTAAAAAAAAAAAAAAAATCTGTAACCCGGGAAGCAAGCAAAGAAAGAGTTGTGCCAGCTTTTCACCAAGACCTGGTTCAAGCAAGGTGCGTTTTGCCATTGCTCTTGCTGTGTGGTTTCCATTGAAAACAGCAGCTAGAAAACTCTACCAAGGACACTAATGACCGCCCCGTTCATAGCTGAGTTTCTCCTGAGATGCACAGTTCAGCACGCACAAGCAAGTTGGCCTGAACAAGACCCAGCCTTGGTGGGTCTATCTCATGCTGCGGCAACAAGGCCCAAATGTCTCTCAATCCAGGAACCTCACTGTCCTATGCCCTGGAGTTCTGCGGCACTCTGCATCCTGCCCTCGCTGGGATCTGAGTGCCTGGGGGACCACACCTGTTCTTTCATGAGACCAGCATTCCTGAGCACTATGTGCAAGGTGCCAGGCAGATGGAGATGAAGAAGATGGTCCCTGACCCTGAAAAGTACACAGGACTGTGATAAATATCAACTATAAGTCCACACCAAGTGCTGTTCCCATGGTACAGGAACAAGGAGAAGGGAGCCACAAATACTCTTTGGAAGCGTCAGGGAAGGCTTCTCCAAAAAGCAGAGATTTGGACTGGGTCTTGATTGGCAAGAGTTATCCAGGGAGCAGAGGGGAGGCCACTCCACCCAGAGGAGACAGCATGGCCAAAGGGACCAAAGGTGGATGAGATAGAGCATGTGGCCCCTTTGAAAACGGAGAACAATCTAGTATAGCTACAAAACGAGGAATATGGAGCAGTGTCAGGAGATGAGGCCAAGATATGACAGCAGCGAGTCACAGAAGGACTTCTGATTTTTTTAAAAAGTCAGGTTTATTGAGATATAACTTATATATGGTAAAATGTTCTCTTTTTAGGT